TTAGATGATTACTGAGGAGAAGTTGCACAGAAGTCCAACGAAATCCGAACCCAAAAACAAAAGGAACAATCAGATAATGACTATCAACTAAAATCCTCCCACTGCTCCCACTGTAAAAATAAACCCCCTACTAATCATTATATTCTAATTTTACAGTAAAAAAAATAAAATCTTAAAACTAAGAAAAAGAAATGCTGACCCTTCTAAAAAAGAGTATCTATTTTGTTCTAATGAACATTTCGAAAAATGACACAAAAGAAACTACTTCTGCTGCACGGAATGTAATAAGGAGTGTTATGATGGCAAATACAAATACAACAAAAGCAAAAAAGATGGTCAAAAGTTCTGTTCTGATAGTTGTTTTTACACTTGCTATGCGGAAAAATGTGATAACTGTTATGAGAAATGTTTAAAATACTCCAGCGGTAAAGCCATCGGTCATGCTCAAACTTATTACAGTGATGGGATAAATAAAACTGGAATATTATGTTCTAAATGTCATCAAGAACAGTTAAAAGAACAAGCCGAAGAAAGGAAAAAAGATCAAGAATGAGAAGAAAGTTGTAAAAGGTTAGATAAAAATATGGATGATTTAGTAGAGGGAATGGTGGAAGCAGTAAAAGGTAAAGAGGATGAAGATTTAGATGATTCAGAAGTAAAAGATAATAATAAAGAAAATAATCCTATTGTAAGCAGAGAGAGAGAGAGAGAGAGAGACAACAGTCTCACTCAGCAAGCACAATTACGTTCGCAAATCAGTTCCTTAGAACAAAAACCTAATAAAACTCCCCAGCAACAAGCAGATTTAGCCGCTAAAAAGAAACAATTAGCCGAATTATTAAAAAAGCAGAATTCTAATGCTACCAATAATGCTAAGCCTAGTGATAAATCTACTTTTGCTGTTGGCTATGGAATAATTGGATTAGTTTTAATTGGTTTAGTGCTTATTCTAGTCAGAAGAAGAAATAAAAACAAAAAACATTAAATTGCCTATGGTCAGAACATTATAAAAAATAGCAAATTAGCATAATTCTTAAATCAATTGCTACTTAATTTGTTATGAATTGGCTTAATTGTCAAGTAGTGATTGTAAAACATAATTTTTTTAACAAATAATTACTAAAAAATATCAACAAAACATTAAAAGAATATGGTAAACTGAAAAGAAATACACCCGGATTTTACCGAGGAATTACAAAAAGAGTGAGAAGATAGAGGATTTGATTACGAACAAACTAAGGACTGAATTAATTCAGGAAATGCTGGTATTGAAGGTTATGATTTTGCTTATTGACTAAAAGGTCAAGGTAAAACTCTTGAACAGTTAAAAGAAGAGAATGAGACAAAAAGCGATGAGGATTTTCAAAAAACTTTTGAGGAATATTGAAGTAATCATTTAAAGTATTTAGAACACGAAAAATTAGAAGATGCTCTAAATGCTGCGGAATTAGAGAAAGCAATAAACTGAATAAAAAACGGCTTTGATTTTCAAGAATATAGTCAGTGAATGGACATTTTAGGATCAGATCAGAGTAGTTTTGCTGCCTATTTAAAAGAAAGAGGTCATGATCCTTCAACCATTAGCAAAGAAGAAATAAAAAAGTTAAAAAGAGATTATAAGATTACTCCTCAGCAAGCATTTGATGAAGAGTATCCTTTAAAGAAGAAGAGATGAGGAACAAAAGTGTGAAAAATTAATTTGTCGGGTAGGGGGATTGGCGACATAGAAAACGGTTTAATAATTTCTGGTTTTCCCAACCTGATGCAAATAGAATGTTCTAATACTTCTGGAATAAATAAATTGGTTATTGAAGATTGCCCGCAGTTAAAATGAGTGAATATTAATTTTTCTGCTAGTAATGAAGAGTTAAAAATAAATAATTGTGAAAAACTTACAGCTGTCTATTGCTCTACTAACAAATTGAAAAAGTTAGACATAAATGATTGCCCACAACTGGAGAATTTAGATTGTTCTAACAATGAGTTAACGGACTTAGGTTTAAGTAATTATCAGCAATTGAAAGTACTTAATTGTGCTGGCAATAAATTTACTAATTTATCATTTTTTAATTATTGCCCTAATCTTACCGAGTTACATTGCGAAAACAATAAGTTAACTAATCTTGACTTTTCAGTTCTTAATCGTGAAAAGTTGACGAAAATAAACATTAAAAATAATAACCTTTCTGAATCTGATTTGTCTGTTCTTGCCTCTTTTCCTAACTTAAAGGTGTGTGTGAGTGACAGTGAAAGACAATTAATTCATTCTCTTCTTGAACCTGCTCAAGAATGATTAGATAAAACTTATCCTAAAGGACAAAGAAAGGAAAAAAAAGAGTTAAATTTAGACTTGAATCAAGAGAGGGTAGGAGGATACCTAGACTTGTCTGATTTTACTAATTTAGAAAAATTGGAGTTAAGTGCAAGTAAAATGACTACTCTTAATCTTGATGGTTTGAATAAATTGAAAAAACTAAAGTTTTCATGAGATAAAATTGACAAACTAGACTTTTTAAACAGTTTGAATCCCCAAAATCTAGAAGAACTTGAATTAGGTGGTAACAATTATTTTCCTGAAGGAGATCTAGAGGTTTTTGCTCCCTTTCAAAAACTGAAAACTCTAACTATAGCAGATTTTTCAAATGAATCTAAATTCATTGGTTCTCTTAAATCTTTACGCAATATGAATGAGTTGAAGAAAATGACAATTATAGGTACCAATGTTAACTGTGGACTAGAATACTTAGCAGAGAATGTTGAAGAAGTTTATTATGTCCCTCTTAGATCGGAAAATAGAATGAATGATATCTATGAAGAGTTGCAGCCTTTCGGCGGTGACATAAAAAAATGGCGAGAAGTTAAAATGGATAAAAAATGCTATCTTTCTCTTTCGCCCTTAATGCCTCCTCAATTAATTGGTGAGAATAAACAAAAAAGTAAGTTTTCTAAATTAGTGGAAAAAATCCAAAGACAAAATCGAGAGAGTGAACTACTAGCCAATATCTCAAAAATCAACTATGACAAAATTCATTTCGAAGACTGGCCTAGAAATAAAAAAAGAGAATTTTCTTCTTCTGAACAGTTGCCAACTAGAATTTATAACATTCACGAAAATAAAGTAGAGGAAACTAAAGACAATCCCAGCATCAAAAATTATGCCATTCTTTCTTATGTTTGGGGTGACCCTAATATAAAAGCAACTCCAGAAATGGAAAAAGAAGAATGATGAAAAAGCAATTTAACAGTTTCCGGAAATAAGTCTTTACAAAAGGCTATTCAAGCTTGTAAGTTATTAGGCATTAATCATATTTGAATTGACCAGTTATGCATTATTCAAAATGGTGAAGAAGCAATCAAAGATAAAGAAAGGGAAATTCCTAAAATGAGGCAGTATTATAGCAATGCAGAAGTAACTTTAACAGCTCTAAATGACGAAATAAATGATACAAATGATATTGATATAATAGAAATGTTAGGCAAAATAGTTAATTCTGAATGATTTGAACGCTCTTGAACATTTCAAGAAGGATGATTGTCTAAATGAACTCTTTTTATGTTTGATGACAAGTTAATTGATGGAAGATACATAGCAGGAACCTGAGCCCTTAGCCAAGCGTCTTACACCGATGTTGGCAAATACAATAGCAGAAATGAGTTTAATAGGGGCACTAAAAAGATTGCTACCCCACTGGGTTGAACATATTATCGGGATGGTTATACAGAAAATGACAAAGCAGAAATGAGTTTAAATCAAGCTTTATACGCTATTAAAAGTAGAGGTAGAAGTGTGCCAGTGGATGGCTTTTATTCTATTTTAGGTTTAGTTCCTTATGGTGATAAAGTAGTTCCTAAATACAAGGGAAAATTATGCAAGGAATGTAAAAATATAGAAAGCGGGCAACAAAAAGAGATAATTTGTAAACATCCCGAAGAACAAAGAACTGAATGACCTACTTATTTCAAAGCCGAATTGGAGAAAGCCTTGTTAGATGTAATGAAAGTAGCAGTTGAGAATGGTTATGGAGAACCTCTATCTTGGCATGGACCAAGCAATAGAACCTCTAACCTCTGCTGAATGCCTCAAATAGATGAAAAAGGTTCAACCAAGGTGGAAGGAAGTGCAGGGAAAATCAACTCTAGAAGCAGAAACGATAGATTATTTATTAATTTTGCTGAAAAAAATATTGAGTTAGACTTGAAACTTGATAGTGGAAAACAGGAAAAATCAGAAGGTATGATACACTACACTATTTTACCTAGCGAAAGCCAAAATTTTCATAAAGTGGAAGGAGGATTTGAAGTGGAAGGAGGACTTTATCGAAAAGATGTAGAAATTAAACTAAAAGGTTATCGGCAAGAACCAATAAAAGTATCCTTATTAGGAACTCGGGAAGCTTTGGAGTTGGCTAAGAGTGATTGTAGCTTGGTAGTGCTTTATAAGGAAGCATTTAAAACTGATAAATTATTCGCCCTTTTATTGGAAAAGACAGAAAATGAAAATGTCTATCACCGTTTAGGGTTGGTAGAGGTAGGAGATAATGGAAAAATAAAAATTGATGATGAGTTGTCTAAGTATCTGACAAAAACAATAATAGGAATAAATAGTTCGCAAATAAACTTAGAAATTGCCCAAGAAGCAAAATTGCAAGCCCAAATCCAAATTGAACCCAAAGGTAATAATTAGAATTTAGATGAAAAAAAGGGGAGTCTGAAAACTCCCCTATCTGAACTACACCAACTCTTAAAAAACCCTCTAAAATAAGCATTTTTGCTAATATTTTTTAAAACCATTCACTAATTAGAGTAAATTATTTTAAAAAAATACTTAGAAAGAACTAAACAGCACTTGCTTCTTTTTCAAAAACTTCTCTATAACTAATATTCTTTTTAATTAGAAATTAACTTCTTTTTTTTCTGACTGATCGTTTATTAAGTATAAAGTAGTAATTACTCCTACTGCTCCTACCATTAAACCGGATCAGAAAGCATTCTCAATCTTCATATTTAGTCGCTCAATGTTAACTGGACTATGATGGTTATTAAAAAGAACTAAAAAGCGATAGTTCCATCATGAATATAAGTGCGTAGTTTTGCTCTTCTTTTTAAATCAGTGATAGTCTCTCAGTAAGCTTCTTTATTGTAATAGAAATTCCTTAAACAACTATCGCAAATTTGTTTATCTTTTTGCCGTTCCTCTTTATCTTTTCAGAAGTCCGGATTTTTGGCTTCTAAATTAGTTCAGTATTCTCAATTGTTTTTTTTGGAATAGGACTTATTAGGAACTACACACTTAATAAAAAAATTAGTTCGACACTGAAAACAGTTAACTTTCTTCGGTTGCGGAAAGCCATTATTACTTAGTTTAAGTTTAGGCATCAGAGCATAATATTGCCTCCTAACTCAACTACTTTTTAAAATTAAATATATAAATAGTAAAGTAATTATTCCTTATGAATACTAATAATATCTTGTTTGCACACGGATAATATAACTTATTTTTAACCGATGCTTTACAAAATTACTTAGTTTTCTTCTTGCGAGATACGAAATAAGTCGCTATTCCTACTAAATAACTCCACCGACTCCTAGAGTTAGGCCAGTTGCTAATTTATTGTTGGAATTAGTTTGGTGAGGATTAAGAGTAGTGTAACTATGCTGTTCAGCTTTAGCTAGGTGGTTTGTTGAGTGGTTTTGATTATGTTTATCTATTTCTTTTTCAGCTTCAGACCAAATTTTCAACTTATTACCGCCACTTGTTCAACTTTGGTAATTTAAAAGATTTTTTTTGCAATAATCTTCCTGATTAGCTACTAAATAATTTTTAATTCTATTTTTCTGATTTTCGGTTGCTTTTTCATTATTTGCACCTTCATGTTCACCATAAGTATTACCTAAATGATGACAATAACTGCGGAACAAACTCCTACCCGCTTCCTCTAATTTTTTAGTCCTGTCTTTTTCATCTTTTAAATCTTTTTCCAAATTCTGAACTTTGTCTTTTCATAATACCCCTTTTTCATCTTTTAACCTTTTCTCCAAATTATTGTAAAGACTGTCAAAGTTAATTGAGTTGTAAGTATTAGCTTTAGTGTTGTATAAGGCACAGATCTTCTTTAACTGATCATTATGTTGGTCTTTTAACTTCTTATTTTCTTCTTCTAATTTTCTAAT